GTGAATATTTATTCATTTTTTAATTTTATTTAAAAACTAGGTACAAAGAACTACAAAATTTTATATACATAAATCTAATAAAATTCATTTTAAGCAAAACTTCGTTGTATCAAAAAAAAATTCGTTATAAAGAAAATTCGTTATAAAGAGAGTCATTTTATATATAAATTTTTCTGACTTTAATTTGTTAAATATAATACGAATTTTTAATTACTAAATTCGGTATAGTAAGGGTATTTTTATATTTAAAAATCTGTCTAATACTGAAAATCCGTTGTATTGTAAAATTCGTTATATCAAAATTTATTGTAGAAAGAGTTGACTGTACATGTATACTCAGACTTTGCAATTTGGATGAAGCTGACTTTCATTTGCTAATCCCTAAACCTTAACAATACTATCATTAGCATAAAAGACCAATTCATTATGAGTAATGGAAACAATCTTAAGAATGTCTGATGAAAGTATAGTTAAGATCTTTTGATCTAAATTTTCATTCTCGTAAGTAATCATTCTTTTTTGTAATTTTACTTATTACTGCAAAAATTGACATCTATCCTCTACCACATTCTCATGCTCATAACTATTAAAATTAATATTTTTTAAATGGTCTTTATATTCCTAACTGAGGATTTTTAACCATTCACATGCAGTTGTATGAGAGATAATTGTCTTTTTTTTTATCTTAAAATCAGGAATAATCTTATTTCCAATGAATTTTACAAAATCTCCAATATTTAATTTGAACTTATAAATGTGTAAATATTCAATAACTTTTAATTTGAAATCTTTATAAAGAAGAAAAGATTTTATTTTTATATAGCAGCCACATTTGGACGTAATAATATTAATAATATTACTATTTTTAAGCCATTAATTCATCTAGGATCGAATAAGCTATGCCTATTATAAACCTTTATTTAAACTCTATGCAAGAAAATTACTTGCACCTATCTTAGTAAATCCTTGATCTTAAACTAAATGAAGAAATTGACTTACCATTTGAAGTCGCAAATCATCCTTTTTTTTAATAATAAATCTAGAGATTTTAATGCAAATTTATCATTATCGTTATCATTACTATTGTCATCAAATGTAAGATCATCAAGGTTATCATGATCTATAGTGGGTTCAAAATCTTCTTTGTCAGAAATATGTCAGTGATCTTTTTAGAACCAGAAGCAGCTTTTCGTCAATATGCTCATTTATTATGCAATATTAGTTTAGCAATATTCTTGTATATTAGTCTGCATATTAACAGATTTAGCAAGATATATAAAAGTTTAAGTTAAAGAGAAATTAAGAAACAGAATTGATTTTAGACTGCTAATAGATTTAGCAAAATATATAAAAATTTGAAGAAATTAAACAACAAACCACTCTTTCTAAAAAAAAAATAAATAAAGTGATATATTACTCTAAAGAACTAAACAGATGAACTTGCAAGTTAAAGTATAAATCTGTAACATTTTTTTGAAATATTTTGAATTATTTAAAATAATTTAATCAAGTTAAAATATAAATTATTAATTAAAATATAAATTTCAAAACAAATCACGTGATATATGATGTGATATAATATCATTTGATGAAATATCTAAAAAAGAAAATATAAAAAGAATTTTAAAAGAAGCAAATTCTATAATTGAATTAGAGTTTATCTTTATCATGTAAAAAAAGAATAATTTCCAAATGAATTAGAAGGAAAAGATAACCTAACACAAGCATCTATTAAAAATTTTTAACACAGGTTAAACGTTGTTCAACTAGCAATCTTTCTAATTGGAGTATATTTGCCAATTCAAAATCCTAATATGTTAAAATAAGTAATAACCGGTATTCCATCATAATTTGGATACAATCAGAAAATGCCTATTTGTTATGCAGGTTAAATGCTGTTCAATCGGTAATCTTACTGGATGGAATACATTTGCTAATTCAGAATCCTAATATGTTAAAATAAGCAGCAACTAATATTCTATCATAATTTGGATATAATTGAAAAATGCCTATGGATATTTATTTGTTAATATTGAAGCCGGTTGTATTTACATTTATTTTATATTATTTTGTATTTTCCATTCAGTTTTAAATGGTTACTTATTTACAATAAATTTAATATAATGCGATATACAAATAAATTACAATATAAAATTTCAATATTAACAATAAACATCAATGTGAATATAGATTGTTCCTCAGACAGCATTTTACCTATGTATGTAATGTAAATTTATATTAAATATGAAATTTTCTTCCTATAGGAATAACAGCCATATACGTGACTAGATTTCTTTTTCCTATTTCATATTCACTTGATACAAATCGTTTAAATATGTTATGTATCAGTATAATGCAGTCTCTACTGATATTATAAAAAGTATCTAACTAGATTTTTACATTACAACTTTGAATATTATCATTAACTTGAAAGTGAAATCTCATCTGATGAGTTAGAACTGGTTTGAACCATTTAATAAAAGCCAAATTATGGCATACTCTTCTACCCAGAAGTTTAATTTTATGTTCAAAGAAGTATTGGACTTGACCAGAATATATTTCAACTGAACTATTTTCTTGCACGAATTTTGCAAGAATAAACAAATTTTTAAAAAATTGAGGTGTAATAGCAAATCTGAAAATTTTAGCTCCAATTTGAATACGCCTAAACTGATTTATTTAGAATTATATAACAATTCTACGAATAGAGCATATCAGATTTTGAGATGCTTTCGCAATTAAAAAAAATCCAAGTCTTCACCGTAAGCCGTGTTGTAATAATTCACTAAAAGTGAATATATGTTATCCAGCAAACTAACATCGATTTTTTTAGGATACATCATCACACCAGGGAAAGGTTCAGCACCAGTAATCATATTTTTGACCTCAAGGTAATAAATTTGCCTAAATCGAACAAGTTCGTCAGATTCAAAATTATCATAACTTGCTAAACTTCCTGATATTGCCTGTGGTTATATTAATTTTAACCCTTCGATAAGCTTTATATTATTCGATTAAGCCAATAAAAAATTATCAAGTCGCTAATTTTGCATTATTATTCACAATAATTCTGGTTCAATCTGGTGATGACTATTTAGAAATGAACTTAAGGATACAACCAGTTTAATAAAATTTTCTTTTTTTGTAACAAAAAAAAATTCGACATCTAACTTACCCAAAATACCATTCATTCTTTCGAATGAGTAGTACTATGTAGAATGAATATGTTAATCTGTAATCTTGACAACATTCAGCTAGATGGAAAGAAAGATGAATGTTTGGAGTGATGAATTCTAGTTCATAGTTTTCTTCAACTAATTGAGCAACAGATAACAAATGGATATGTACTTCATTTAACATATCATCAATAATACGTGATACTAATAAGAAGCATGCTTTAACAAAATTTGTTAAAATCTTTTGATTGCTTCATCTAAAAGATTCTACATCAAAGGAATTGCATACACTATAATAAATGATTTCCATTGATCTGCCGTGTATCCTGAAAAGCCCTCCCCAATTGCTAATTTATAAGGAATTCCACTCAAGTCTGCAGGAACTTTAATTTGTTTTGCTTATTTTTTCATCAGTTCTAGATCGAGTTTAGTTATTTTACCACCATCAATCCAAAGTTTTTTTACGATCCAATAGGCAATATCTAAAAATAAGTTGTACATCAGATCTACAACTAAATTATGGTATGGTAATCAGAATAGTTCAGACTATCGTACAAGAGTTCTACTAACATGATTCTTCTGAGCTTCTTTTATTTATTGATGTTTTCAAATTAAGGCATCACGTCGATGTTCTTTAACATTTTTCATTCTAAACCACTCATCCATGTCATCAAATCCTCCAAAATTCAGTTTCTGACCTTTTTCGCCACTTGCCCTTTTATAACATTTATGACACTCAACTAGAGCAGATATATAGCCGCATAATTTTCTTGCAGCCGGAAAGTCACTAGAGCAGCATATAACTGCTAGTCAGATTTTTTTGCTATTAAGACATTCATTGGTCGAATTCAAATTAAAACGATCTTTCCAAAACCCAATCAATTTGTCTACTATTAGTGCAAGATAGTGGTTGATTTTATGAAGCTTAACTTCATGTGATTCCAGTAATAAACCTAATGTAAGCATATTTTCCTTTTTAAATCTAATTTTACAAGGTAAGTTGCAAATTACCTCATAAATTGCTTCACAACTATAGACAGATAATTTAAACAGCTAAAACCAGTCTAGGTTGATCATGATTCCCAGATGTGAATCAGTCATTTCAGCTGTAAAAAAATTGGGAGAGTCTAGAATATCTAAATGTGATGGGAAATTTTTTCAAACTTTACCATCATAGATATCAAACATTAACTCAGTAACGTTTCGATTAGTCCATTTCTTCAAAAGTTCTTCAAAACCTGGTCTTTGATACATTGAGAATAGTTGAGTTTTTCAGCATGGCAATTGAAATATCATCTTTAGACGCTATACATATCTATTATTTACTAGGACCTTTACGAGTAATTCTGAATCACAGGATTTATGATAACTTTGCATAGGATAGTTTGAAAATTCAATATGTATGCATTTGAATCCTATTGTTGCATTACTATTTGAATTTTTTGGAATTATTGATGCAATATCGTATAACTTATTACACTCAATACAAGTGGCAAAAGATTTTGATTTTTTCCTTATATTTAATAACTTTCTGGTTATATAAGTGGTTGAAGGAAATTCTTTAAACTGATAAATATCAATATCTTTTAAAAAAAGGTTAAAGAAGCCAATTAACGAATTAATTGAAATATCAGGAAGTTTAAACCTTTCTTGGAATTTAAAGATCTAAAGAAGAATCTATGAATCAGTTTTGCCAATATTCATAATAGAATTATCCTAATCTGAATCATAATTAAGATTAACGGGAGCTGCAAATAACTCATCATCGTCTGAGAACAGTTTATCATCTAAAGTTTGTTTGTTATCAAATGATCGAGAACTCTCTTCATCACTAAATGAATTATCCTGTTCAGGTTCTTCATCTGGAAAGATATTAATATTATCAGTTATACAAAATTTATCATATGGGAGTATTTCTAGGAAAATCAGGTTCTGAGAAATTTTTGACTAAAATAAAGAGCTTAATACATTTTAATCTAATAATATCAAAAACTAAAATGCAATAAAAATTTCAATTTTGCTAAAAAATTCCCGGAACCTGATTTTCCTAGCAATCAATCCATATCTTCTTCACTTTTTTTTGACAGAAGTTAGATTTTTATAAAAGACTTTTCATCAGATTGATCATGATTGTTATCAATCATTGCATCATCTTCACGAAGATTTTGAGAAGAATCGATATCTATGGATTGAATTTCAACTGAATTAGATTTATCGTGATTTTTTTTGCTTTTGTTTTATCCATTTTAGAGATTGCATCTTAGAGCTGTTTCTCTTTTATTTAATGTTTATTCCTGGTTCTTATATCGACAAGTTTACCATTACATATTTTGCAATCACATGGTACTGTTAACGTGTAATTCTTGCGAACTACAACTATTAGACGGGGTGTTCGAGCGGTTTATTCTTTTTAATTGAGCAGTAATCTTTCAAAAATTAACAAGGTTAATTCAGGCTATTTATCAAAGTATTCATACTATTTCGTCAAGCAATAATTCAACAGATTGCCAATGAATTGTATTTGTAAAATAATGTGTTTATTCACGAATAAGGTAATAGAAATAAAAGAAAAGAGATAGAAGAAATAAGAAAATAAAATAAGAAAAGAAAAGAAATGAATTACTAAAACTAAAATATAACGTGATAGGCCACTTGCCTTTAAAACTACTAAAACTAACTTGCCGAGTTCCTATCTGTCTCTCTTTTATATAAACTAAAAGGCTACCTATTTATATAAAATAAATTACATAGATAAATATATCTAACATGTCTAATATATTAACTATATCTAATATATCAACTATATCTAAAATGTCAACTATATCTAATATGAAACTATTTCTAATATGTCAGTTATGCCACATACGTCTGACATATCATATATATCACTTATGTTACATTCATCGATCTTTTGCGCCACATAAGCTGCATCACATTTACCCGTTCACAGTACTTTTGGTCGAATTTTTGTAGCTTTTTTAGCTATATATCTTTTTTGAATCGATTCTTGCTTCTTTGATTATTTGGATATTTTAAAAATATAAAGATTATAGAAAAGAGTTGAATGCATCAGTTATATAATCTATCTAATTAATTATTTAAATTTTGAAACTTTACTATTATTGTGAATTTTGTGATCGAGCCTTATTATCAAAATTTATTATTGTAATTTTTTAGTAGATATATATATAAATATAGAATAGTTGATTAAGCAAAAAATTATGAATGATACTTTATACCAAAAAAAGTATATTTATTGATATACTTTTAGATCAATTTTGATAGATATAAAAAGGACTAACTTCAGAGTAACTTTAAAAAGAGAACAAAATTACTTTACACTTTTTAAAATACATGCCATAATATAGACATTATCTATTATTTATTATGACTTCTGGTAGGAGTTCTTGTTCTAAATATAACCGAAATAGGTCTCAGTCAAGAAGAGATAGAAATAGATGGCATGTTAGAGATAGGCATGATAGAAATAGATGGTTAAATTATGATAGAGATATAAGTTCAAGTTATAATAAAGATAAAAATCCAAGTTATGATAGAAATGGAAGTTCAAGTTATGATATAGATAAAAGAAAGAGTTTCAATCGTAATCGGCAAGCTACAATAATAATATTATTCTTTCGTTTCATTTATCATGTAATTAATTATAATCATCAGTATAGGTCTTCATCGTCTAATTCTTTAGAATTAGATGATGAAGATGATAAATCATCTTCAAAGGAATATCGTAAAAAAGGTAATAATAAGGCAAAAAAGAAAGAGAAACAAGCTGATGAGGGTATATTTTGTTGTTTTTTACCAGTATTTACATCATATTATACATGATGAACATATATTTAGATCGATTTGCTTCACTTTTACAAGATGATGATATTCAAGAACTATTTAAAGAATTCCTATAAAGCAAAATGAAGAAACTAAAACTGGAAAATATTTTATCACCAGATCAATCCAATATAAATTATAAGGCGAAAAGTCGAAATCAGCTCCAAGTATAACAAGACTGAAGTCAAAGCCAATTAAGTTTTCAAAATCAATCACAGATCTGAGTACAATAGGAGAGTAAAAGCCAATCAAAATATCAAAGTTTAATAAGATCTTAAAGTCTAACAAGATCTAAAATTTAATCCTGGTTAGTTTCAAGTTTAAGTTCTAATTAGGGTAATGGTAGATCAAAATACTTATATACTACTGACTTATCCAATGATCTCTGAAATGCTTTAAGAGTAAATTATTTTACTAATGTATATACATTAATGTTCTACACTTCGCACTAGATAATTAATGATATCCTTTCAGTATCAGATTTTTTGGATAATCGAAAGATTACTGACTCAAAATCAATTGAAACTAAATCAAATATTTGAAGATCAGAGAAATATTATAAATAATACGATAGTTCCATCAGTAATGAATGCTTTGGATTTGGAAACGTTTTCAGTTTCTGAATCTATTATATATGAAATGCTTCATAGTAGACATAAATACCAATGAGAAGAATACTTAAAAAAACAATGATCATTAGCCTACCAAGATGAGCAGGCAAGACGAAAACATTTAAATAGTAGGAAAAATGATGTAAGTAATAATGAGCATATTTTTTTTATTTTGTTTACTAATTTTATTATAATAACAGAAATGAAGGAATCATGCCAACACTATTAAACATTTAGAAGCAATCAATGATCCACTAATCGAAATATTCAAAGATCATGAACTTCAGCTAATTAATGATAATTTCATATACCATTCTCCCAAAATTTCAGAGACTGACGAAGAAGACACTTCTAATAAAAGGAAGATTATAGTAAAAGACTTAAAATAGCGTTCAGTTACAGTAAGATTAATGATGAATATTATGAATATTATGTGATTGAAATTCTGATATTAATTAATTTTCTAATTTTTAATTTTATTTGTAGTTATGAACATTTTTACACGATTATATTGATCATATATTTGCTGAGTCATCTAAAGTTTTAAAGAAGTGATCTCGAGCTTACAACTCTGTTAATTTTTATGAAAAGAAGTAATCGAAGCTATTTCAGGCTCTAAAATGGACTATTAACAAATATAAAGGTTCGTTAAAGATGGCTATACAAAAGGCTTATGTAGAGCGATCATCAAATACACTTCCCATAAGACCCAACTAATGAGAATAATAATTATAAGCATTGAAAAATACGACTAGGTATTCATTTTATTAAAGTAATATTCTATTTTTATATAAATTATTGGCAGAAGTTTTTTTTATGTATAAATTATAATATTTCATTATATGCTGAAATAATGTTTGCTATTTATATAATATAATATCAATTTTAAATTTATTAAATTGTACATTTTATTTAAGAAGTATATATAAATCATCCTTAATCAGAACATTTCTAATTATCCTTATTGAACAATTGGATAAATTATTTAAAGCAACTGAATAAATTAGGTATAATCGTCTATATTCTGACTTGTGTAAGACTTAACTTATTTTATACTGTGAGATAAATTAACTTCAATATGAATGAATAAATGAATTTAAAAACATTAAAGTTTAGTATTAATCAGATTTCTGATTGAATTTAATTTGATAAATCCTCTATTGATCTGATTGTAATTTATTTTTTAACGAAATTGTTATCAATACTAATTCTAATAATTCAATTTTCTGTGATCGAAATAATAAACTAACTCTAATAGTCCGTTTTATTGAGGCCTATTATATTCTGATTGCTGTCACGATCTGGCCATAATCAGCATTCATCAATATGGTCCAATAATCTCCAACTAGCATCTAGTCGAAGTACAATAATAATGCATATTGATACCAAATTGTATGCTGGTTTATCATCTTTAGACACGTGTAAGCTACTTTAATCAATAATGATAAATCTAAAGTGAATAATAAATCAACATATTATTGCAATATTGTAATCTATTATTATAAAGGAATTTCTAATACTATTAAAATAAAAAATAAAAATAAAGAATTAGTTAATAAGATAATTAAATTAAAAATTGTATTTGAAGTATTAAGAAAAATATTGATATTTAATTACTTACAATTGTATCAACTAGCAGCAAATGGTTTTAAATATTTAAGAAGAAAAAAAATACATTCTAATGAATATAAAGTATCTAAGAGAATAGAATATCAATGGAAAATTAAAAGAAAAAAGAATTATAAGTCTAACTCATGTTATATGATTATACTATGCCACTGATTTTCAAATATTCTTACAAAAATAATAGATTAAAATAAAGTCTTAGAAGTGATTTACTCATGATCTATTAATCAGAATTTTATAAAATTAATATTAATGTGTTTACTAAGTTGAGAGCTTCATAATTATATAAATTATATCCTGAACAGATCACTAGATGCCAAGATAATTGAAGAAATGTAATTATTTAAATTTAATCATAAGAAATGAATATGAAATACTTTTTTTAAAAAATAAAGAGAACAAGAGTAAAAGAAAAAGTGTCAACCATATGGATAACAGCTCTTAAAATAATAATAAATATAACTATAGCATTTATTTTTATTATATTGGACAAGTTTTTGTGAGACAAATATATAGTAATTTTATTAATAAACAAAAATAAAAAAAAATCTAATTTAATTGATCTTCATGAGGAATAAGATACACTAGAAATTAATAACAATTACAGTTCTCTACAAGTTGATTTTGTTCTCTAAATTGATATTTTCTTCTCGACAAACAAATTGGAAATCTTCATTAAGTTTTCTATAATTCTCTTGAAGTTTTTGATTATTGTTTTTTTCTAGAGCAAATTCTTTCCTAAAGTTTATACTCAAGGAAAATTTAGCAGTTTAATCTAAGAAAGTTGATAATTGATTTTCTAAAGTTGAAATTTTTGCTTAAAGATCTTCTTGGATCTGAACTTTCTTTTAAACTTTTTAACATTATTAACGTTACTTTTCCTTTAAATAAGTTAACTATAATTTGAAGTTAGGGAGATAATAGCTATGACTTAAATCCAATCAACTTGACATGCTGTTTACTAAAGAGTTTGTTTAGTTAACAAGAATAAAATTATAAGTTTTATATTTGCAAATTGTTAAGGTTGTTTATTATTGATATTAAATGT